GCTGTGTGCTGGTGCTGCGCTGGTGCTGCGCTGGTGCTGCGCTGGTGCAGCAGGTGGAGAGGCCCACGCATGCAGGCCGCTCGCCGGCCGGCCCCGTCCCGCCCGGCGCAGCACCGCACGGCCCGGACAATAAAACCGTGACCGAGAAACACCGCTTGGGTAGCCACAGCAGCGCGGCCAGGCCCGGCCGGCCACGGGCCTCCAGCTCCAGCCGAGCTGCAGCCGCCCACCGCTGTATCCTGCTGACGGGGTACCGGACTTCTTTTTTCGGCAGAAAAAAAAAGGAATCAAAATTTGAGGATTTGTGGGTTTTATGAAAGTGCGTGGAACGGATGCGAAGCATAATTGCCTCGTTCTCGAACCAATCTCTCATTCTCTTCCTCCATATTACGTGCACAATAAACCCTTATGCATTATGGTGTGCATACATTTTTGTGCATAACAGGTCCACTGTGTCCAAATTCGTTCATAGTTGTGCAGAATTTGTACATAACTAACTATGCATGAAAGGATGAGCATAACTATAGCTGCATGCCAGGCTGCATAACATGCTCAAAAAATGCATAGGTAATGAATGTGTATTTTGAACCTGCTATTCGGCTGTATTTTGCGTACTTGTTTAAATTACTTAGTATAGTCCAATCCCCATCGTTCAGTTAAATATTCCTACCTTGCTAAGTACCCCCCTCCCTCCCGACCATCCCTTACATCAACGCGAGTATTTCAAGTCCTTAAGGAGTAAAGTCTGTAAATCAAGTGTGAAGATGACTGCGCTTTTCTGACTGACAAAAAGTACAGCAATTTTTCATGGTCACAGCTGAACATTCACCGTAGTTATTTACGATGATTACTGAATTCAATTCGTGCAACAGTCAGGCGGTCATTACAATTTTGAATTTGATGCAAATAAACATCGCACTTCTGCAAGTAATGAATCGTGAAAATCACAAGTGGACGTTCGGTAGCGCCAAAACGTATGCGTTTTAATCGTGATTAAAGGGGGTGCACCCCTTCAGAAATAGTGTTGGACTACTTACGGACTACCCAACAATTCAGTTTGAAATTTGCGAGCAGAGGCGGAGGGGCAGGTGAAGTCAAATTAGCATTGTATCAGTTCCGCCCTCTTACGCTCTTCCACCCACTGTAACTGTTAATTTAAATTTGAGAAACGTGTAAGATGCAATTTGAATCGGGGCGTGATCCAACGAGATTTCCTTCGTTTTCGTGTGTCTTCCCTGTTTCTCCCATGTCGAATTAAGATGGGCTACTATGGTGTAGGCAGATGAATTCAATCACAATAAATTTGGTAATTATAACGGAGAGTATACATCGGAGATGCGTCCGGGCTTCCAGGTAGTTAGATGTGAGGAGCGCCGTTGTAGAGACGCCTGGCAGGTAGGCACTCCTGTTACTCACGGAAGCTCTGCGGGGTTGCCTAAGTAGGGCTTCGCAGGCGCTCCCACTGTAACTGAAACTTGTGGCCAGATTCACATAATTCTTTGTGATTAAGGAGACAGAACGGTGAGAAGGCAAGGTTTACGGGGAAGATTTTCTGAAAGAAGACGAAGCAGTTTGGCATTTTTGCATTTCATGAGGCGTAAAGGAAGGCACACGTAGGCACGCCGCCGTTTTTGCCAGACACGATATTTTCTGATCGCGTGCGCGTGGTGCAGCAACGTTGCTAAAGTTGCCTATTACACTTTAAACGTTTTTCTGGGGGTTTTGGAAGATGTTGTTTAGAAGAGTAAAGTTTTTTCGTAAACTTTAACCACAAAAATGAAGTTAAAATTTGCTTTGTTTTTGACGCGTTTTGTATCCGCAAGCTTTAAGATATACCGATATGCCTAGTCTGAGTAGCACGTGCATTATGATTATTTGGTCACAATTTGAAGTCGATAGCTGAATTAGAACGGCCTTATTGACATTGAATACCACCACCACCACCGTTCAAACTGCATCTATTTCAGTTGGAGGCGAAGATTTATACTCCATCCTGGTGGCTATACGCGTACCGCGCACGCTAGACCGTCCCAAAAAAACGCTGTTTTCAAAAAGTTCTCGGGACACATTGCCGCAGTAAACGGACTGACTAGGAGATACTAAAACGATTTTTTTCCGATTTTTTGAGAGCAATTTAGAGGTCGCGCATGAATTTTTAACGTTTTTTAACACAAAACCTGCGATTTTGCCGGAATTAGCGAGTTGCAGCCTCCCATGGACGCTCCCTCATCATTCTGACGGCGCACACTCTTCCCCTCTATCCCTCTCTTGCCCCCATCACATTGCGGGGTGTCTAAACAGCCTTTGACCCCTGAAATATTATACCCCAAGAGAAGAAAGTAAAGCCCGAAACGGTGGTTCAGAGCCATACACATTTGAAAAAAGTTGTAAAATTATCATAGTCTCTGTGATGACTAGCTTGTTAAAAAAAACACTACCATTCGTTTTCATTGGCATGTGACAAAGTTCCTTCTATTTTGACCGTAGTGGTCCATACCAACGATCCCTACTTTTCACCATGTTGTAATACTACAACAAAACCGTTGGAATGTTTGATAGTAGCAAGATATATCGTAACAGAATGAACAAGTTTGTGTTATTACAAACTTATGGTGCTGGTAAGACGTAAATGACCACTGTTTTGAAATTAAAAATTGTTTCAGAAAATTTTGTAAATGTTGTTAGATTAAAACATGTTTTGTTTTTTATCAACATTTGTTGCTATCAAATTTTGCATCAAATGTGTTCTAAATTTTCAACAATTTTTTTAACAGTGTACCATTATTGCTGCGGGCAATAACAGTACAGTTAGAATTTACAGTTTAGTTTATTTCCAATCAACTATTTTAAATGACACAGGTTTAAAACCAAAAGTAAAAAAAAATTGCCATAAAATATGTGAAAATCCCAAAATAGCCGTTTGGCCGATAGAGCGCGTAGCGCCGACCCCGGCGGCAAGAATTCAACATTAATCTATTGTTTTGGTGTAATGTTCGTTGCTAGTTAAGGCACTCCTCACAGACGCAATTGAAGTTATTATAAATCCCTTTTGGGCTATAAAAATGAAGTAAGCATGCGGTTCGGACCACCGCAAAGTGATAGGGGCGAAAGAGGTATAGACGGAAACAGTATGCAGAATCAGAACAGTCTGGGACCGTCCAGAGGAAGCTGCAACTCGCCAATTTCCGCAAAATCGCAGTTTTTGTGTTAAAAAACGTTAAAAATTCATGCGCGACCACTAAATTCAACTCAAAAAATCGGAAAAAAATCGTTTTAGTATCTACTAGTCAGTCCGTTTACTGCGGTAATGTGTCCCGAGCACTTTTTGAAAACAGCTTTTTTTTGGGACGGTCTAGCGCACGCCTGCATATACCCACTATATATGAACCGTAAGCCAACGTCTCGCGTAATAGGCTTCGCGATATGTCACGGGACATTTCGTGTCGTCACGCTGCGAAGCGAACGACCCTGGCGCCTGGCGCTGACACCACCTGCTGACACCCGAGACGAGTTAATATGTAGGTACGAGGGTGAGCCATGAGGCCACGCAGCCACCAAATTTGTGGACGTCAAGTTAAGGGCGTTCCAAGTGGTGCCTATAGAAGCCCACAAAAGTGACATTTTTACAACACAAAGAACTAACTGTAGGAAAGTATAGTGTCCTGCATGTACCATTGGCACCGCAGTTTAAACTTTTATACTGGCCGACACTTAAGTTTTCAATTCAATTTCAGGTCAATTATTCTTTGGACCCGATCTTGTCCTCTAATGGTTGAATGACAGTGAGGTTTTTAGATCGCTAGTTCAATTCGAGTTATCGTGCGACAACAGAAACAAACAAAGGAGAAAAAAAGTGCATGGTTTCGGCCTTCCATACGGTTTCCTCCTTCCTCATCGAGTTGTCCCTCTAGCCAGATATTAGGCTTTAAAACAAATCCGTCATAGTATTCAGTGTGAGCATGCAGGACTTTCTTCGCTATTGTTTTTCGGATGGACGTTGCGAACAGCCTCTCAAGCTCCCCCACCTCTAGGAACTCGCAGCACGGCCCTCTCCCCGCGCCGCTGTGTCCGCCGGGGAGGCGGCGGGCCGCGGCGCGCGCGCGTTAGTTGGGTTGCCTATCCGCGCTGAGCCAGGCGCCCCGTGGGGTGGTGAGGATGCGAGCTGTTGGCTGCTCCACTCCCCGCGAGGACTTACCCAGAGTGGATCACGCCATAACAGAAGGGAAGGCGACCGTTGTGAAAAAATGGTCGTACTTGGACGATATATTCTACAATTTGTCATTTACAAAATGTGTCGTACATGTAGTACCGGGTGATTTAGAGCACGCGCCGCGGTGTTGCGGGATTGCATACCCTAGCGGCTATGGTGCCTTACGTGCGGACATGGTAGGCAAACCCGCCGACAGCGGCGCGTGCTCTGAATCACCCGGTACAACCTCTAACAAGCTCCCATCACTTGCTTGTCATTCGATTTCAATTCGATACGGAGTGCTCGTACATTAACAATCTTGAAATGCAATTGTACGACTACCCCCATGCATGGGAAAATTTCATGTACCCGGTAACGACGGTTTTTGACATACACTGTTAGATTCCTACAAAGCAGTGCTTTGCAAGACCGGAGAGTATTTCGTCCTTCGTAACTACGAAGCATTTACTCTGCAATTACAAAGTGATGCTTTGTAAATGTTTCATTGCTTTGCAGTCGCAATGCATCACTTTGCAATTGCAAAGCAAAAATGCTCCGTAATTACAAAGGATTGAAATACTTCGAAATTCCTGCAAAGCGTTGCTTTGCAGGAAGTTAACAGTGGAGACCACTGGTCAGACACGCCGTCGAAAATTTCTGCTGCCAAATTTTTTGTTGTTGTTGCATATTTTAAAAGGGATGTGACAATATTAAATCCATCGCCTTCTCGCCCTCTTCGGGACCCACTCAAGGATGACTTTGAGCGTTTCTGTGGTTATCGCTCCCGTACTCATGCGCCGCTTGCCCGCAGGTACGGCCGGCTCAACGTGCTGCGCTGGCTGCTGCGGGAGGCCGAGATGCCCGCCCTGGAGCGCAGCGGCAATGGCGCCCTGGCGCTGCACTACGCCGCGGCGCGGGGCTGCCTGGACTGCGTCAAGCTGCTCGTCGAGTCCTCCAACGAGCTCAGGTGAGTCGAGTGTGTTATTGTTTTTAGTCGCTGCTCCGTGCCGCTACCCCGTCCCCGTCTGTCTCCTCGTGCACTGGCCCGGCGGCCGCACGCTGCTTTCCCCCCCTCCGCCGCCCC